CCTGTCTTTCCTTAAACTAAAAGATTAAAATCACTTCACATCTTTCTACTAACTAATTCTTTCTTCCTGTAGTGTATCCTTATATGCAATCTTTCTCCTATATATTACCACATTTGACCTAACCACTGCTATGAATCCGGTGTTCATCTTGCTGTGCTAATGCGGTATGGCAACCTGGACCGATGCATATATGTGTCTGGTCCTACGTTGTAGCTGACTGACTGACTGACTGGTCTTAGTGACCTGAGAGCGTAACCGCAGTGACCAAGGGACAACTGCTTGAGGTCGGTCGCACACGACATTTTATGAGCAATTTTCGTGTTAGCTCCTCACCTGTTGAGACCTTACCGCCGGAGACGGAAATCTGTGAGATCAGGCTAGGTGTGCATTTCTAGGGTCAACCTTTTCTAACCCCACCTATCCTTGTGGGAAGGCAGCATCACTGTTATGCTGGTTGTCTGAAGGAAAAACCTTACTGCTGTCAGTCCTCTGTACAGTCAGCAGTACGACTTCGCCTTGAGACCTTGGGTTTGTTGCCTTTAATCTTACCGCTCTTCAACCGATCTGTTTGACATGGTAGGACCTTGAGGAACGGTTATTCCAGCCAGTATAGCTCGGTTGCTTCATCACGATAGGCAAGCCCGACCACCACATCAAGGTAGCAACAACAGTCGGGAAACAAACAGGTAGAAATTCACCATTGAAAATAACTTTAAACATTGAATTTTACAGTTAGTCAGTATGTTGAGAAATCTAAAATGTTTATTTCAGTAATAGTAGTCTGAGTTTATTGACAGAACCATTTTCAATAACTGGGACATACTACATTTTTCTGTATGTATATTACAGCAAAAGACATCTATATTTTTGAATACTATATTGCCATACATCTAACATTGGAAGAGATAGTCATTTAAAAAAAGCCGTTTGCGATTGTATAACTATTTAGAAGGGAATAAACTGATCACTGAAGGAAATTCTCTCATTTGTCATCTGGTGTTAATTTAGCCATTTATGTGGTTGGAAGTAAATGACAGGAAAAACTATACTTCACCTTAGTTTTCTGATAGTCGATATTTATTAACATCAAACGTTTGATCCAACCCTTGAGAACTAATGTCTTCCGTAGGATTTGGAACTGTATCCTCGTAGAACAACTTGTAACAGATCTTTTATAAGACTAGTCTGTTTACACTAATTAACAAGTAAAATCATATAAACCAATCCTTAATTTTGGTTACTTTGTAAGGATCAAGTTGAAGTTTAGTTACCAAACGAAACAACACATTATCACTACTGATTGAAATCATGAGACAATTGAAGCTAGACCACCATGGAAAACCTGGAAGCACTGGACGGTCGTTTCGTCCTAGTATGGGACTACTCAGCAGTGCGCAGCCACGATCCCGCACCCCGCGAGGTTCGAAACTCAGGACCCAGGACATTATCATTAGTAAATATAACCCATAAACAGAATCAAACCTTTTTCCATTTGTGTAAAATATCACTACAACACTTCATAAGTGAACTACTTATTCATTTTTTCTAATGGAAATGTTGTGTTCACTTAAATAATTAAGGACAATAGAAGAAACTGAAATTTCGTTGTGATTTAACACAAATTAAAGGTAGTTGGAATTTTGGTAAGACCATAATTTATGAACAACCACTGAGTAATGTTAAAGTGGCCATGAGAGTATCCACTTAATAACTAGGACTAAATGAGGGTTATAAACCAGTGTGAGGAATCACAATTATGATTTACATTTGATGGTTAAGGTTAGAAATTAGATTGAGGGTTTTCATCACGAACTGACATCAGCTTATAATGACAAAACTTTATTTATCCAAATGAATGAATGGATTTCGCACCAAATTTCATGACCTATTATCTTATACGTGATTAGTTCATCCATAAATCATAATCTCGCCGGAATTTTACAGTCCAATATATTTGTCAATATGATTTAATGAAGTAGAAATTAGTGACAGAGTTCAAGTATTCAGCCATATTACTATTTGACGATAATATATTTTAATTGTTGAATTCATGAGTCAATTGAAGTTAGACAACCATGGAATGCCTGGAAGCAATGGACGGTCGTTTCGCTATAGCATGAAACTTAGCAGTGCGCATCTCGCCCCGCAGGTTTCGAACCTAGGACTTATCGGTCTCGCGCCCGAACAATTAACCTTTAGACCATTGAGCCAGCATCTAATAGTGTTCATGTCTAACTTCAACCAATTCAGTCCAGTGCTTTCAAGCATTCCATGATGGTCTAGCTTCAATTAACTCATTAAATTCAACTATTAAAGTATTAAAATCTCCACAAAACTCTCTTCTGATGATAACATATTTCTTTTCTTATTCTGAACAGATAAATAAAAAAGCAGAGCTAGAATAAACACCATTATGTTTAAATATTGTAAAGTACACTGTTTTTGGAAACATAACAATTGTGTCATTAGTGATGGGTCTAATGGGTTAAGTTTGTCAAATATTCAAAAGGTGAGAATAAAGACCGAACTATATTATAAAATTTATTGAATTACTTTATAGTTGATTGTCCCCCAATGTCCTGGTACGGCCGAGAGTGGGGATAGTCAGCTATCTCACTCTCGAAATGATCTCAAGTGGCCACATGCATACAACCACTGCAAAAGAAGTCCTACTCACTGCCTTCTCGCATCATGGGTGTTTGTTTACGAAATTGAGAGGACGAAAAGCGAATATCCGGCGCTATATCATAAAATTTATTGATTGATCAAAAGGTTTGAATGATTCTAAGGATAACTGTTAAGTAATGATTACCTTAACTAATCGATAAACAACCTGTGCAATTCAAGAATTTGTCAACAATACTAATGATATTTCAACGTATATGATAGATTTGTGAAAATTATTAGTTTCTCAAAAGTTAATTGTTGATCTTGTACATTTTTAATAAAACAGATTTTACTTCAGGGGGATTTTATATTCAAGAGAAAATGAGTTTTTGGTTGAGTCTATTTTTCAGGCTAGAAATAGTTGTATTATGTGCTTTCTTTCTTCTTAATTTTTATATTCAAAATCCCTATTAAACTATATTATGAGATAACTATCTGAGAACTATGTGATTTTATTTATTTGAACACATAAATATTTTTATAAAGGGGCACCGAATACACATGCGCAACACAAGTCACTTGTTTTTTATGAGGGCTGGGATACTGACCGAAGCAAGTGGTTTTCTTAGGGGGATACATTCTGAGCCTTTGACCTGAAATCCTGATCCACAAGGCAATCGAACAACGTCAGTCCCATGGTAACCGGTGACCGACAATTGGTTCATACGCCATTTGTTCCTTCAGAATGTTGGAGCTCATGTGCACCATTGGTTTGGAATCACGGTTTTCCAACTCCCCTAGGTGAACTCTCCGTGTTCACCAACGTGGTTGAAGTGCCGGACATTCGCTTTTCGTCCTCTCAATTTTGCAAACACCACTGTGGCGAAAAGGCAATGAGCGGGACTTCCCTGTCAGTGGTTGTATGCACGTGCTCATGTGAGAGCATCTCTAGAGGGAGAGTGGACTCTGCACCCTTGGCCGTACCAAGGCATTTGAGGGCTAAAATGATGGGATGACGAAGGAGATCCTTTCGACCCATATGTTAGGCATGCCACCCACCGATTCAGGGGTAACATACCGTAACGAACTAACTACATCTATTGCCTGACTAGAACCATGTGAACAAAATTACTAATCGTTTCAAGTAATTTGTACAATGCAAGATCGTTTGTTATTTGCAAATTCAGTTATGACGTGATTTAATTAGACATTTACTTGATAAAGTAAGTTTCAGACAACATCTGAACCGAAAGACCAAATATTTCTGGTTATTCAGCTTTCATACCGTTGTACGGTTGTACAACACTAAAATATGTCGGTACTTACGACTAAAACTCTTTATAAGGTACAGGTTGATCGTTATTACATTTTATATTTCACTTAAAAATCAAACGGCTGTCATCTTGAGTAGTATGGTTTTATCAATTTAAGAAAATATTTTTTAATTCGAAAATCCTTTAGTCAGTCAGCTACAACGTATGACAAGGCACATATATGCATCTGTTCAAGTTTTCATACCTCATTACCGCAACAAGATGAACGCCGAATCGATAGAACTAGTTAATTCAATGGTGGTAATATATAAAAGAAAGATTGTGTATAAGGACATAGTACAGGAAAAACGAATTAGTTGGTAGAAAGATATGAAGCGATTTTAATCTCATAATTTAAGGGAAGACAAAGAGTGAATACACTGACGACATTGTGATAGATTCTGACCCGTATCACCCAGAGTCTCTAATCATTGGTTACGATAGTCACGCGGACCACAAACAAGCAATCTGCATCTAACAACATGGATCACACTAGAGCTTAGTCACTTCAAGCAATGATGCCAAATTTTGTTTTGACCACCTCTAACTTTCTTCCAACCATCCTCAATACTAATCAACATTGTGCGTCGTGTTAATCGGTGTTCAGGCATACGCAACACAACACGTGGCCCAACCATCTCAGTCGATGAACATTCACAACCTCATCAACTGACTGACCATCATTCCCTAATACTCTGAATCTAACTTCACTATTCTACTACTTACCTGGTGATCCCAGCAGATGCGAGTAATATTTCTAAGACATCTATGGTCAAATACTAATAGCTTATGAAAATTTTCTACTCTTAATAGCCACGTTTCGCAGCCATAAATTAAAACAGAAAGATTATAACAAGCAAAATAAATCACAATAATTGATATCATGAGTCAATTGAAGCTAGACTATCATGGAAAACCCGTTAGCACTGGATGTCCATTTTCATCCTATTTCGGAACTCTTCAGCAATGGTCTAGCTTCAATTGACTCATAATCTTAACTATTAAAATGACTATAATATCCGCAAAAAAACCCTTTCTGATACTAAATCAATTACATTATAAATAGAATTCAGTACTCACCTATATATTGTTTGTATGAATATTACATAAAACAAAAAATTAAAGTGTTTTTATTAAAATTTCCAAATAATTCCAACAATGAATTGATGATGATGATAATGATAACGATGATGATGAGGACAAAATAGTCAATATGGCATGATTATTCCCATCATTAATACCATTAATAATAATAATAATGTCCGTCGTGAAATAATGGATTTGTCAATCCGTTTAATTTATCCTGATTTTATTTTATTTTATTAGTTTTTTTTTTCAAAAAAAAAACGGGAAAATCAACCATTTAGTATTTAAAATCAATAACATGAAAAATCATTCCAGTCATATGATTGGTTGTTTTGAAGGTCATTTCAAGGATGTGGGCGGTCCAATTATTATATATATATATTATATATATATATGATAAAATGTAGATGATAGACACATAAATACATAAACACATTACTACTTCAAATGAGATAGAGAACATGTCAATATTATTTGTCCTAATAATTATGAAACCTCAAATAGAAGATAAAGATAACATCAATCCAATCATAATTGATGAAGAAATGTTAGAAGAGATAGAATATTTCATGGATGTAGGCGATAGTATTATCGATGAACAATGACGATCTGATATAAATGTGTAAAGGTAAGAATTGACAAAACAAGATTAACATTTCTATAGTTGATGAATATATATTGAGAACTGTTAATCAATGTCAAAGTTATAATCTTCAATACGAATGTCAAGATAGTTAGTTGAAACTTGGAGACCTACTACAATCATCATCATCATAAAAGTACAAGTATTAATAAACAATTATCTACTCAAGATACTCAATATCTGTTGATCGGACAACATTAGCAACAGCCTTTTGTAAAAGTGAACAAATCAACTTCTATCAGAAGAGGAAATTAAGAAAAGAAGTTGGATTGTGGAAATCATCAAACTGCATCACGAAACAAGCGTTCACTTGGAATCTTGAAAGAAAATGGAAAAGAGGAAGGTCAAAGAACACACTATGTTGAGAATCGAAAACAGATATCAATAGGATGAATAGCAACTGGAAAGTATTGTTCAGAACAGAATTGGATAGAGAATGTTGATGAGCAACCTATACTCCTCCATGAGAGATAACAAGAGTATGTAAGTAAGGCTAATTCTGAAGGTGATGAGGTGATCTTCTTAAATCCATATTATTTGTTTACAGTCGATATGCAATAACTTAGTTTTTCTCTTTCACTGGATAAGTTAACTGATATAGGAATTATTTCGTAAATTACAAAATGTAATTTAAATTTAATTTATTGCACAACTATGATCTAACAATTTCACTTCTGTAACTTAAAAAGTTATTGCACTGACTAGTTGTTCTGTCCTAATTCATGAACTTCTTTGGATTACAAATCCATGTTCATGTCAAAACTCAGGTAGTTTTATGTTTAACGCCCTGGTATCAAATTTTGATCACTTCTCGAGAACACATCATATTCATCCTGTATAATCGGTTATTCCTACATCACTTTGGACATGTCTGCTAAGTTGAAATAAAAGAAACCATCTTGTAGTTAGTACAAAGATTATTCAACTAAATAAGTGTTTCTTAACTAAAGACTAAACTATTCTTAACATTTATGCAATACAATCTAAGTACATTAATTTCGAGTAACTTACTTTGCTGTACTATGTCCTTATTTTCAATCATTTTATATATTACCACCACTGAATTAACTAGTTCTATGAATCCGTTGTTCATCTTGTTGTGGTGATGAGGTATGACAACTTGGACCGATGCTTGTATGTGCCTGGTCCTACTTTGTGGTTGACTGACTAACTTTGCTGTACAATTTTATGTACCTTCATTCTATTGTCTAAGTAAAAGCTTGTTCCATTTCCATTAGTTAAACTAAGCTATATAACCTCAACCATGTTTACCTCTTTATCAGTAATAAACGTAAACTAACTATTTGATACACTTGGTGTTGTTTTACTTTGTGGAGGCCCGTTATTTAATCGTGATTTAGATCGAACGATGTCGTCGAAAGGGCTCTCCACTTTATTGGCCCGAGATCTGACTCCAAGATGATCGTAATGAATGTTTGTTATCGCCTATTCTCGTATATAATCATCGACTTAAATCGCGTTAGTCAATAACGGAATTGAATAAGTCGAATAACGAGAATAGACTTGTGAATACATATGTTTTGTATATAAAGCGAATGGAGTAGAGAGAAGATAAACGACGCAGAGTGGAGATGGCCGGTAAGCCATGTGATGAGTAATGGGATAAGAAATGTATACACACCTACGCGCTCATGTTAAAACAGTCAAGATTGATAAGCGAATAATTAACTAGGTCAGAATGTGACTCAAGTAGAATGAATAGAATGGGCTATCCGAAAGCTAGAATAAGGTAATATAGGCTTGACGTAATGACCGACACTACAACTTGTATCTTCCAATTGTTATTTAGGACTGAAATTGATCAGTCTCTTATTGATATATGTGCAACCTGTGCGGATTACCTCGATGTAGCCATAAGTCACAAACTTTTTAAGCAAAGATGGGTTCGAGTCCCAGAGTGAACATCAACTCTGGCATTGCAGGTACATCCAACTAACAAGTCTTTAATAGGCAAGGCGCGCAAAAAATTGGATTCCACTGCTAACCACTATCCATCTTTGTTTAATAACTATTCGGTATTTTCATCACACATTGAATGTAGGTTTTTGTTTTAGCTTGAATACTGACACTAGCTTATGATTTAGTAGAACATCAAATGTGCTTACCCCAGTAAAAATGATGAGTCAAACGTATGTTTGTGATAAATCGGCTACATAAAAATGTTAAACTTGTTAAGTGAGAATACTTTCATCATAAATATGATGATCTGAGACACTAATTAATATCACGTATTACATGTCTCAATCAGAATTAAGGTTATCTATTACGTCACCTGAACTGCCAGTAGGATCGGTGTCCCAAGCGTTGGTTGACACATCAACCTATGATCTCAACTATTAAAATTACTATTATATCCACAAAACCCCTTCTGATAATAATTATCATATACACACCAGTAACTATCTCCAAGAGTTATTTCCTGGGGTTCTAGTGCGAAGCCGTGACCAATGGAGTTCAATCGGGTCTGTTGTGTGATGGTATCTCATTGAAGACAATGGTGGACGTGGGGCTCAAGTTCGTGGATTATTTGAAGTTAGAAATTAACCGGCTCAGTGGTCTATAGGTTAAGAGTTCGCGCGCGAGATTGATGGATCCTGGGTTCGAATCTCGCCGGGTAGGATCATAGATGTGCCCTGCTGAGAAGTACCACAGTCGGACGAAACGCTGTTCAGTGCTTTCAGGTTTTCCGTGGTAGTCGAGCTTCACTTGACTCCTGATCTCAACTATTAAAATTACCATAATATCCACAAAACCCCATCTGATACCAATACCTTAACGCATATTGGTCTCTGAGATCTTTCCAACCTAGTAACCGATCCCAAGGCACAAATTAGAAACAGATTTGTTCTACATTGTATTCAATTCAATCATGACTCAAAACTCATAAAACGATAATAAACTTACAGTGACTGACTATACAACAAAACAAATAGGAAATTACATTACGTACACAACTTTGTTTCAGTCATACAAAACCAGAGTAATAAAGGGAATAATTTATGAATGATAAATGTAGAATAATAAAACATATGATAAAGATTATTTGGATTAAACAAATGCTTAAAAATGTGAGAGTAAAACACTGTGACAGTATTATCGTCTGTATATGTGAATCCTCTGAATTGTTAGGTTGCAAAGTTATACTTTCTCACTATTCCTCCAAACTATGTTGCAGGATAAAATGAATGAATGAATGAATGAAAACGGTAAACTTATAAACAGTTTCTAGTCATTTCATTCAAAGTCTTTAACCATTGATTACGATAACCACATGGACTCCAACCAAGTATTTTACACCTGTTTGCATCAATGACTGACCTTATTTAGACAATCATTACAAACTAGGAAGCAGTTGAGAGCTATTTCATTCCAGCACAGGATTCCTCTGTGGTGGTCATCAACGACTACTCCGATAATAGGTCCTACTGTAGTGTGTGCTACTGATATCGATCGATATAAGTAGTATGTATCGTCAATCGAAAGTGAAATACTTGGAAGTAGAAGGTTAAACAGACCGAAGATGAGAGGATGAGAACAGCGAAGTCTGACATTTTTCAAATGAAGAATTTTCTGTATGGTTCTCAGAAATTACAAATCCATAAAGTCACTGAAAACTGGACTGAGCCATGTTGGTAGATCTACACCTACTACCTGGTTGGAATCCACGAGATGATTGCAATCGATGGTTAGAGACCATGAATGACATGATTCAAAATCGTTGGCAATGGTGCAGGTTCATCTACTCTTTGTGTTCTCCAAAATTCTAATCTTCTGAATTCTTTATGTCCATTTCTTTTTTATCTTTCCAACTTTACTTCACTGGATTATACTCCTTGAATAACACTTTCAAACCCTAATGTTTCCGATTACTGCTTATACTCATACTACCTCTACCACTACGGGGTTTAAATCGACAAATGTATTTGTGTGCGAATGTGGTATGGCGACTTGAAATGATTTACGTTCGTACATTCAAAGTTCTACGTTGTTGCTGACTGACTCTCGTTCACTACACTAGATCCTTTATGTTTCATACTAAGGTCTAGTGCTTTCTTGTTTACAATGGTTATTTAAGGAAAACAAATTAGTGAATCTACCAAATTCAATGTCCCTTCACTGAAGAAACAAAACCCATGGTACATTACCGTTAATGATTATTTTCAGAAGATAATTCCCAGGTTTTATATAGAGAAAAGGAACTTATGACCTGTGTAGTTCAACTACACATTAGATTGGCATTAATTTTTTTTAAGATTGTATTATAAAATAATCATAAAACCAATTACATAGATTCATACAAAGAATAACCGCTAAATGTAATGTAACTATACATTCACATATATATATATATGGAGAAATAGGTCAGAAATCATTTCATGTGTAGTTAGGTAATAAACTATTTCGCTTTTTTTTTTTACCTTCATAAGGACCTACATTAATCAAATTGAATTAAACATCATAGTAATTATGTATGTATTAAGTAAAATACAAGTCTCTGTCATACACGGTAGTAACAAGCGATTGAAACAACCGGATAATTTATGTTGTATTAGATGAATCAGTGTATTATTTCTTTGTTTCTTTCTTTCTTTATGAACATTTTTATGAGAAAATAAAACAAGCCTTTAATGTTACTTTATAATTTCATTATTGAACTATGAATATATATGTTAC